ATTGTTGCCCAAAGCTATTTCACTACAAGTTGCTAAATGGAGATTTGTCTAATTCTAGTATTCCAATTGTATTTATTAGCTTGGATTATTCTACAAAAGATAACTTTCCCTCATCAATATTTGATTACCTGCTGAAGTTTAGGTATAAGAAAGGCAGAATAGACTCTTGAGTCTTTATTTTCTAGTTTTCAGAATAAGAAGCTAAAGCCCTAGCAGCCTCCAGAGGTGACCGATGAGTTTATTTTTAGTGTCATTGAGAACTCAGATTTTCATACATATGTTTAAATCAATGGCTGATACTATTTTCAGTGCTTTAATTGTCCTATTTTTGGTGAGTAGGAGTCCCTCTATTTGACCCGTGTGCTTTTGGCGAGCCTCTAGGCTTTGATAGCTCCCTTGCTTTCTGGCACATGATGTCTCAGGCTCATCTTGCCTTATACCTAGGACCAGCCATTTCTACAAGGAGCCCAGATTTCTTCTAGAGACCATGGTACCTTAAGTGCCTTCCCATTTCTCTTCAATAAAGTTCAAAATACTTACCATGGTATAGTACCATGCTTCCTAATATTGACATGTCACAAATGAATTATCTTCCTAAATGGGAAACTGATCTCTTCAGTGATCCGAGTTATTAGTAGGGCCTGTGTTGGCTGAAGAAGCTGGGTACAACCCAGCTTCAACCGTTTTGCTCAATGGTACATGTGATACTTTTCTAGGATTGCAATGCTATGAAAACAGTTGAGAGGTCTAGGTGTAGTGGATAAATACTTGTATTTGTCAGCTCAGCAAACCTGTCCTTGGTGGAACCTTCTCTCCTCCATCCAGTTACAAATCTGTTTAGTCCATGTCATTGAGATGGGCCTCACAGGGTTCTTCCCCTCTTCCTTCCCCACAGACAACTGCATTCCCAGAATGAATGCATGATCCAGGCCTGGGTTAGTAGAGGATTCCACCCCTGCCCATCTGATCAGTTCAGGGGTGGGTATGTAAGCTAAACTTGGCTACTTGGAGCCTTTTCTGATCCTTCTGCCTGAGCCATTTTCCTCTGAAATTGTGAGCTGTAGAAAAACATTCCCTGACTTTCCTCTTCAGGTCAGATACCCTGTTCTTCACCCTTATAGCTCCTTATACTTCTCTTTCATCATCCTTCCCTCAAGCATAAATATCTGTGTAATCATTTGACTAATATCTGACTCTCCCTACTAGGGGTTTGTATTTGTTTACTGCTCGATTCCCAACAATGCTATGGTGATTACACAGGTATTCAAAATATGAATAAGTAATGTTTTAAGACTTAAGGTACATATATAGTAATATTTTAATTAGAAAATGTACATTCACAATGTAAAATACATTAAATTACAAATAAGTCTGCAATAGTCAAAAATTTGAACAGATGCAGATAAGCAGTCTATCCTCTTTAAAACAACAAAATATATACAGATTTATTTTACTTCTACAAGAGAAAAGTTTGATATGAACTGGAGTTTATTTTAAATGTACCCAAGCTTAGGAAGGTAGCATTAGGAAGCTTTGTGACGTTATAAATCCCTACAGAATATGACAATCACTCTTAACAAGTTTAGATTTTCAAAACATCTTTTCGTCAATACTGGATGTCCCCCAAGAATGTATACACACTTTAACAGCTGAAAGCTCAATTTTGAAAATGAAATGTTGAAAATGAAGTGTTTAATAAACACTGCCTTTACAATTATTCAATGTTTGTGTGTACATTTTTGGAGGACACCCTATATATACAGTACTACTTTTAGGAGTTTTTCATACCTTAATGTTTCCTGTCATCTTTTTCAGTTTATACTCTACTTGTCCCACTCAAGACCTCAACGAGGTGATTTTTTCCTTAAACTACCTCCCTGCTCTCTCAACCCCATGCCACTTCCTCATCATCTTTTGTGCCAAGGTTTGCACTGGTATAACACCTCAGAGAAGAAAGTGCTCTCAATAAAAACGTGGTAGTCATTTTTGGAATGTTAGTTTATCTGAATTTTATTCAGTGTTATCAATCTTTAGAAGCTGGAAAGATTTCTGTGTCATATTCTTGCACAGAGACAGGCTAATCATTAAGGTAAGCCTGTCAATGGGCATCAAATTATATTTGTCAAATATTTCTACTAAGAATCCCTGGTATAGGTAACTTAATTTACCCTATAATTAGCAATTAAATATCTGTGACTGCAAACTGGGCTTTTTTCTTTACTATAAAAAATATAGTGGTTAAGAGTGTGGACTCTGAAGACAGACTGTTACTTAGATAAGTACTTTAACTTCTCGGTGCCTCTTTCCTTCACCTGTATAATGGGCATTATAATAGTACCTTCACTCTATAAAGTGAAAATTAAACTACACATTACGTGGGATATGAACTCTATAAATGTTCACTATTATGATTTCCATCATTACCATTGTTATTGTTATTTCTGTCATGCACAGTGCCTAAACCAAGGGTGAGGCTTACTCTTTAGGATTAGAGTGCCCCCAAAAATGTAAGACAGAAGAAGGAGCTGTGGAACATCAGGGAAGAGGGATCCCAGGATGTGATGAGACAGCCAGAAATATGGTCCTGATAAATCTAACTGAAACAGTCTTGCTATGGGAGGTGGAGAAGAGTGGAAACAATCTTAAAATGTAATCACAAGATGACTTCTGTCAGCTTAAGCCTTCTATTACAGCTGAAGAAGTTGGATTTAAGAGTACAACAAACCTCAGTAGCAAAAACCCCCAAAACAATCCAGTTTAAAATGGGCAGAGGATTTTAAAAGACATTTGTCCAAAGAAGACATACAAATGGCCAACAGGTACGTTAAAAGGTGCTCCATTATCACTAATCCTCATGGAAATGCAAATCAAAACCAAAGTGAAGTATCACCTCACACCTGTTTCTTTGTGTATGTGTATTATTATACATATATAATGGCATATTATTTGGCCACAAGAAAGGAGATCCTGCCATCTGTGATGACATCAATGGACCTGGAGGGCATTAGGTATGGTATCACTTGTATGTGGAATCTAAAAGAGGCGAACTATCAGAGGCAGAGAGTGGTATGATAGTTGCAAGGGTCTGGGGGATGGAGGAAATGTGGAGATGTTGGTCAAAGAGTATAAATTTCTTGTTACAAAATGAGTAAGTTCTGGGGATCTAAGGTACAACATGGTATTATAGCTAATAATACTGTATTATATACTTAAAAGTTGCTAAGAGAGATCTTAAATGGTCTCACCACAAAAAAGAAATGGTAATTATGTGATGTGATGGAGGTATTAGCTAATGCCTTGGTGGTATCATTTTATAATATATAAGTATCACATCAACATGTTGTACACCTTAAACTTACACAATGTTATATGTCATTATATCTCAATAAAGCTGGAAACAAACAAAAGACACAGGGAGAATATATCCATCTATAAGCTAAGGAGAGAGGCCTCAGTAGAAAGCAACCCTGCCAACACTTTGATCTTGGACATCTAACCTCCAGAACTGTGAGAAATAAATTTGTTGTTCAAACCAGAAAAATGAAACAAAAACAAAACAGTACCACAAACTTAGTATAAAGTGCAGATTATAGTCTTTACTCTCAGTTTTGAAAATATTTATAACTTAAGTACAAAATATTGGAAAAGTATTTCAAAGTATTTTTACTTTTTAGGTAATAGTGATTATCCATATACATATTTCTGTACTAGTACCTTTTATCAGCTTTCCACTTAGGTGGAGGTAGATATGTTATACATAGAGACCATATACTCAAGAAAACTCAGTAAACTGTTAGGTTAAAGCCATTTGCCTCAAATATTAGCCTGACTAAATTGGGGCTGTCATGGCCCATCCAAATGTAAAATTCTGCAGGTCTGAATAACTGTGCAGACATAGACTGCAAACTGCTGTGTCTACCCTGCCACTACTAACCGATGGGAAAAGTAAATAAAGTGAGTTTTCCTCCAGAATTTAAGGGAGTTGAAAATGCCAATAATTATAATAAGCAGTTTGCTTCAGTATATGTATGCCATAACACATACCTGGCTTATGATTCTAAAGTGAATTACTTATTAGCACTTGAAAGAAAAATGTAGTTACTCCTACTAAAGGTAGTGAAATCGATCTTGATCTCTCAGTCCTTTTTATTGCTCAAATATTAGGATTATCCATATGCATCTATTAATTTAGGGTTACTAGTGAGATAAGACAAATGTATTAAAAATAAATTGAAGAAGGTAAGGTAGGATGGCAGGCATGGTAAATGGAAAAATTGAGTCAGAATATTTCATGAAGGAACTTGATAGTAATAGAAAATGCATTTTTAAATAAATAAAAAGTAGGTATCTCTGATTAGGTAAAGATACCTACTATTTAGGTAAACAATTTCTATAATTTCTGTTATAAGTAATTATAGAACTCTACTCTGGTTTCACTGCATGGATATTCTCTCATTTTAAATGATACCTCTGCAGTTTGAAATACGAATATAATTTCACATTTACAGACCATTGTTCCTTCACGCATGAATTTATGCAACTCCCAAAGAGAGGTTGGGTGAAGAATGTTCTTTTTTTTGAGATAAAGAAATTATGATTCAGAATGTTTTTTACTTATTATCTTAACCATTATCTTACTATTCACAGTTACTCAGAGAATTCTGTATTATTCAGTATATGTTCTTGCTGTTCAAAATATACAATACCTGAAGCCTGACTTCTGGAAACTGACTCAGTGCAACTCTCTAGCGTTAGAACCTTAGTTAAGGAAGTCCCACATAGCAAGTACTTTGCATCCCAGTGTTAGTTAGCTAGGTTACTCTTTTTTTTAATCCTCATCTGAGGATATTTTTTCCATTGCTTTTCAAAGAGAGTGGAAGGGGGAGAGGGAGAAGGGAAGAGACAGACATCAATGTGAGAGAGACACATTGATTGGTTGCCTCCTGCACATGCCTTGACTAGGGCCAGGGATCGAGCCTGCAACCGAGGTATGTGCCCTTGACCAGAATCAAACCCTGGACCCTTCAGTCCATGGGCCAGTGCTCTAACCACAGAGCCAAACTGGCTAAGGTAGCTAGGTTACTCTTGAATCCTTCCATATCTTATAGAAAACGCAACAAGTCTTTTGTAAACCACTCCCAGGAGTGTGATGGTAAGCACCACCATTCCACACACAAGGCTGAATGCCCATCGTGGGCCCCAGGAAGTATATACTTGGCTGATGAACACAGGTCCAAGAATCCGTGCTGCACTTCCAGAAGCTGTTAACCAGCCCATGTACATGCCCTGTGAGGTGGGGAAGGAGGAAGCAAATTGATATTTAGGTTTAGTTATTTTAAAAACAAGAGAGATGCTACCATTACTAAACGATGGGAAACTCACAGGAATCACTTTCTCCATCTTTGATTTGTGAATTAAAAATAAAATGCCTCTCTATAAATACAGCAAATAATGAACAATAAACTTACTTGATAGAGTCAGCTTAGGAAAAATAAAAGTAGCAAAAAGGAACAAATTCAGTATCTGCTGAAGCCCTAGGAACAACAAAATTAATTAACTTACCTTCTAAGATTAACATTTATTTTGTACTTGCTATCTTCCACACACTGTGTTAGGTGCTATACATATATTGTTTCCAGTGTTCACAAAAGCTTATGACTGGTGGTGTCCCCATTTAACAAATGTGGAGGCTGAAGCTCAGAAAACTCAGGTAACTCTAACAGGTCTGAAGCCACATCTGCCTGACTTCACTATACTACCTTCCACCACACCACACGTCACTCCAGTTAACTGTGCAGTACAGCTTTCCTTTTTTTTCAATCCTCACCCAAGGATATTTTTTCCATTGCTTTTCATAGAGATTGGAAGGGGGAGAGAGAGAGAGAGAGAGAAACATCGATGTGAGACACATGCATTGGTTGCCTCCCACCCGCACCATGGCCGAACCCGGGACCCTTCAGTCCACAGGCTGACGCTCTAACCACTGAGCAAAACTGGGCACAACTTTTAGTAGCCCCCCCATTGAAAACCTAACTGTCCATCAGTGGTGGATTAAGTAAATAAATTATGGTATATTTAATAATGGAATGCTAAGCAGTTGTTAAAAAAATAGTAATTGTCTCTTTGATGTTTTTCTCCATTTTGCTTCTATATTTTTTAATTTTCATATAAGGAATATGGAAGTTCTTATACATAGCTACACTATTGTGTTTTCATCTTTTAGTAAGTGTCCCTATTGCCAAGTGAAATTAAGTGTGGATTCAAACTTGCCTATCAGCCCTAGCTGGTTTGGTTCAGTGCACAGAGTGTCGGCCTGCGGACTGAAGGATCCTGGGTTCGATTCCAGCCAAGGGCATTACCTCAGTTGCAGGCTCAATCCCCAGCCCCAGTCGGGGAGCAACCAATCAATGTGTGTCTCTCACATCGATGTGTTTTTTCTCTCTCCCTCCCTCCCACTCTCTCTGAAAAAGCAATGAAAAAAATATCCTCGGGTGAGGATTAAAAAAAAAAATTGCCTATCAGTTTTGGTGTCCCAGCTGTTGCCTAGTTTAAGAATGAGTTTCAGAACTTTGTGCTTTAGATACTTTTCCTATGAAAATGATTTTGAGCTCATAATCTCTTGAGTTCAAGAGATCTTTGAGTTTTTAGAGTGCTTTTTGTTCAGTTTCAACATAGAAGTGCTGTAAAAAGTTGTGGGTTTTTAAAAAAAATCAAAATGTTGAATATGATAAAAATCCCCCATATCAGCTTGTGTGAAAATAGAGAATGGTAGCACTGAATGTCAGTGCTTACAAGCATACTTCACATAATTGCAATGCCAGGGTGACTGACTCACCTGAGGTTTTGGTCCCAGAACTTTTGAATATAACGTATAGGACATAACGTTGCAGGATGGATAGCCTATTCCAATTAGCATAGCTGATGTGAGGAACTGGGCCAGATGGATCATGGGGGTATAGAGGCACCAGACTTGTTCAATTGGGCAACCAGTTGGTTCCTCACTGTGATCTTCTCTTGGAGAACTCCAAAGAGTAATAATAATTTCCCCAAATGTTTTACTAGGGATTGAATTATTATGTAAATCTGTAAAAACAAAATTAGTACAGTGAATGACTTGTTACTATTAGATGAATAACAGAGGCAGTGTAACATTAAGATTATGTATGGCTATACCTTCCCACTGTATCTTGGGAAATTGATTTCCCCAAGGTAACAAGATAAAGAAGCCAACCCATATGACGACGAGTCCTCCCAGCAGAATAGCTCGCTCACCAATCCTGTTAGAGAACAGAACCATTATATTATAACATAGTTTCATTATTTTTATCATTTCAAAAGCTATAAAGTAATATTTTGATACTTTTAGTGATGCACCAATTAATATGAATGCTAGATATAATTTCCCACTAAAAGGAATCAGGACTCCTCTAAAAACTGGCTTATTTCAGGTCTGGGACAGAAATGTATAAACTGAGCCTGGACATTTGGTCATATCAGAGAGCACAAAAGCTACCAGTGACTACTAAGTCATGATAAAAGGACTCAGAGCCAACTGGAGGAAGCTGGCCCACTACATGACATTGTGAACACTAAAATAGTAATGACAATGGACTGAAACACAAAAATGTTATAATCTATGAATTTATATTATATTAAAATACTCTTGGTCATTTTTAGAGGATATTAGTAAACCAAGTTTTTATTTTAAAAGTCAGTTAATAAATTAAAAAGAAAGAATCACCCTGTCATTCCTCTACAAATTGTACCTCAAATAACCAAATAGTTGGTGACAGGAAGTTTCTCTTTATAGAAAACACTCCAGCAAATAAACAAAGGAATGATAGAATTAAAATATCAGTATTTTGCAGTGGCTTATTAATGAATTAATGGATCTAGGGAATGCCAATGGCCACAGTTACGTGATAAAAAGATAAACAAAACATTACATTTCTCCTGATGTAAGTTTATAACACCACCTATAAAGTGTTCTTGCCAAGAAAATTGAACTACAATCTCATCAAACTTATAGATCTAAGTATCAATTTTCGAGAAATATATTAGAGACAGGAAAATATGTTTTGTTTTCTTAAAAAAAAAAACCACAAAACCACAAGGATTCAATCAGTGAGATCCAAAATGCGGGAAACTACAGTGCAAATGGTTTCTTCAATTTGTAAAGGAAAAAGAGAGCAAGGTAGAAAAGATTAGATTAAAAGAGACCTGAGACAAATAAGCGCCTCAATCAAGTGAGTAAGCTGTGGAACAAAACCAAGAACAAACAAAATGAAAACAGTAGAGAAAATTTGAATACTGCCTGGATATTTGATTTTATTTAGAAATCACTTAATTTTTTAGATGTGATAATGTCATCATTAACTTTTAAGATACATACTGAAATACTTATGGCAGACATGAAATAATGTCTGGGATCAACTTCAAAAGAATCCAGGTGTCGGGGATAGGGAATGGGAAGGTACAGATGAATCAAGATTATGCAAGCATTTATCATTGTTGAAGCTGGGTAATGGATATTAGAGAATCAGTACATGACGCTCTCTACACTTTTGTATTTGTTAGAAATTCTCCATAATAAAAAGTAAAATATACAAAGAAGACCACAGGCTTCTAAAACAAACCCAAACCCTTCCCATCTCTCTCAGAATACCTCCAAGGCTTCACATTTTTCCAACCTGACCTACCATTTTCCTCTCATCTGCTCTGGCCAAACTGGCCTTCCTGCTTGTACTTTAAACACCAAAGCTCAGTCTTCTGGGGGAGGAGAGTTCCAGGTCACTGCAAGGCTGGTCTGACTTCATTGAGGTCTCTGCTTGGATGTAACTTCCTCAAGCATGCCTTCCTCCAGCACTCATCAAAAACACTTCCCCTCTCCCAACTCCGCCCTGCCCTTCTATTCTCTTCCTCTGTTCTGCTCTTCATAGTACTTATCACTACTAGACTACACCTTTGCATTGGCTTTCTCCCCAATAGAATACAAGCTCTTTGAAGGTATGAAATTGGACAGGCGGTACAAATGCCTATTAGCAGGACCCCTTTACTTCTGTAGCAAGATGTAATGTATTTACTATTATTTAACTTTGAATATGAATCTGTGTCTATGTCTATATCTACATCTTAGCCCTGTACTTGGCTCTACAAGAATCTTCATGGTATCCTTCATAGCATCTAGCCCTACACACTGACTCAATATTTGTTCATTGATTTTAGAAGTATTAATGTATTTTAGGAATAATTAAATTGTTAGAACTGTCTAAATTCATCTACTAATGTCCCATCCCAGACTTTATGAATGAATTTAATTTTATACAAGCATTTCCCCCAAAGTGTGTTCTTTACAGTTGTCCTTTTACAAAATGCTTTTTTTAAAAAAGTTTTGTGTGGTCAAAGTTACAAATAACTTTCAGAAATGTTACAAGCTGTATTTGTCAGGATAGTGATATAGTATGTATATACTGAAGATTTAGAAGTTTTAGATTAAAGAAGTTTGGTAATTTTAACCAGAATTTTCCAGACTTAACCACTGAATCTTTTTTGTTGTATAACATATATTACCATGCAGCAGAAAGATATTCTATGAAATACACTTTTAGAAGTACTTTAAGTAAAACATAACATACAAACACTACATTAGAAGGCAATAATTCACTTTGTCAATATTTTGCTTTAAGAATATGCCATATGGTATAGAAATATCATGCTCCCTTAATAAACTTTACATCTGTTTTTAAACGTTGAAGGACTAAAACTACTACATAAAGAGAAAAAAGCTTTACATTGTTTTACTAACACATTCATTTACATTAACTGTTTCATGTTTCACTTTTAAAATATAGATTTGGAACAAAACCAAAGACATAAACTTACTTTTTGGAAAGTGATTTAATCCCCATGAAAACAATAACAGCCTCAACTCCAAGAGCAGCAAGTATTATTCCATCATATAATACAGCTTGTTCTCGAGTCCAGGCATACATATCCATTGTTAATGGGGTAAGGATGCTGAGAAAAACGAAAAAAGAAATTATTCTCATTTTATTTAAATCATAGTCATTGTTACTTAAAGGTGATATAGAAACTTTAATAATGCTATTGACACATTTAAGAATCTGTATCCCTTTTAACAATAACACCAGATCTGTATAAACAAAAAATTTAAAACATTTTTAGCACTTTTTAATCTGATTGATTGATTTTAGAGAGAGGGAGGGAGAGAGCAAGAGAGAGAGAGAAACACTGATTTGTTGTTCCACTTATTCATGCATTCATTGGTTGATTCTTGTATGTGCCCTGACCAGACGGAGATCCAACCTGTAACTTTGGTGTATCTGGATGATGCTTTAATCAACTGAGCTACCCAGCCAGTGCATTTTTTAGCACATTTTGATTTTATATGCACAAGTTACTAAGTTTGAGTGTGTGTGTTTTTATTTTTTAACATTTAATTATAAAGAAGTATATCTACATTGTAAAAAGTTTGAAAAACAGGAAAATAAAACCTACCAACCAGAACTCCTGCCATTCTAACAGACCTAAATAATCATGGTTATATTTTGGTTTAAATTGGTCTCTCTTCAATGAAATAATGTTACTATTAGATTAGAATCTTCTGGAATTTCTTTTCCTCAGTCTCTTTCTCCCCTGTAGTTGAACATATATATTTTTCACCCTACCTCTCTCTGAATACCTCTCTCCCTTTATATGACTTATCTCCGTTCTTTGCCAATCTCCTGTTCCTACTTTTTATCTCCTTTGGTTAATTAGCTACAAAATGGAATTGCAATATATTTAAAATAGTCATTCCCATTTTTAAATTTTTAAATCATATGAGCTGATGTGGAACATAGTTTGGTGGTTTCTCAATGAGTTAAAAACAGAATTACAATATGATCCAGTGGTTCCACTTCTGGATATATACCCAAAAGAACTGAAAGCAGGGACTCAAAGAGATACTTGTACACCAGTGTTCACTGCAGCGTTATTCACAATAGCCAAAAGGTGGAATAACCCAAATGTCCATTGACAGATGAATGGATAAACAAAACTGGTATATGTACAATGGAATATTATTTAGCCATAAAAAGGTATAAAATTCTGACACATGCTACAACATGGATGAACCTGGAAAACATCATGCTTAATGAAATAAGCAAGTCACTAAAGGAGAAATGTACCATTCCACTTATATGAGGTACCTAGAATAGGCAAATTCAGAGAGAAAGTAGAACTGAGGTTACTAAGGGCTGGGTGATAGGCAGTGGAGACTTACTGTTTAATGAGTGCAGAGCTTCCGTTTGTAATCATGAAAAAGTTCTGGAAATGGATAGTGGTCATGGTTGCACAATACTGTGAATGTACTTAATGTCACTGAACTGTTCAATTAAAAATATTTAAGATGGTAAATTTTATTTTAAATATATCTTTATTGATTTCAGAGAGGGAGGGAGAGGGAGAGAGAGAGAAACATTGATGGGCTGCCTTCTACACGCAAGCTGCATATGGCGCCCTGACCAGAGATCGAACCTGCTACCCTTTAGTACATAGGATGATGCTCCGACCAACTGAGCCACACTAGCCAAGGCAAGATGGTAGATTTTGTTGTGTATACTTTAACAATTTTCAAAATGCCCAAAAAAATCAGATGAGCTGAAACTTTCATATGTCTCAATTTTAAAAAATCAGATGAGCTGAAACTTCCATATGTCTCAATAATTTAAAAAAATTTTAAAAATCAAGCAAATCCACATGGACTGGCATAAAAATGTTATAATATATTGATAAGGGAATAAGCAAACTGTCAAATGATAATATCACATATTCAATGTTAGTTTAATACATACACACACACCACAATACTTATAATTTTATAGGAAAAAAGTTTGAAAAAATACACACTGAAGTATTAGCATTGATTACCTCCAGGGAAAGGAGTAAATGTGGAAATACAATTGTAATGTTTGGGATATTTACAACAAGAATGTACTATTTTTATAATGGAAAGGAATTATTTATTTATTTATTTATTTTAAAATATATCTTTATTGATTTCAGAGAGAGGAAAGGAGAGGGAGAGAGAGAGAGACATCAATGAGGAGAGAGTCATTGATCGAGTCCACAACCGGGCATGTACCCTGACCGGGAATCGAACCCTGATTGCCTGGATCCTACGTCGACGCTCAACTGCTGAGCCACGCCCAGCCGGGCAGGAATTTTTTTTTTTTAAAGCCATATGATAGCCCTGGCCAGTGTGGCTCAGTGCTTAGAGCATCAGCCCATGTACCAAAGGGTCACAGGTTCAATTCCTGGTCAAGAGCAGGTACTTGGGTTGCAGGCTTGATCCCTGGCCCTGGTCGGGGCACATGCGGGAGGCAACCAATTGATGTGTCTCTCTTATTAATGTTTCTCTCTCTTCTTCTCTCCCTTCCACTCCTGAAAAGCAATGGAAAAAATATCCTTGGGTGGGGATTAACAACAAAAAACAGCCATATGATAACTGAAGGTAAGTAAAGCCTACACAGGCAGAAATTTTGTAATATATCATACTAGTTTGCTGTTGTTTTTTCAGGATCAGAGCTTAAAAAGAGTTAAAATTGCCAGACTGACATCCATACACATGTAGGGAGTTATGTAGCCTAAAGTTTAATCATGCCTGACCGGTGTGGCTGAGTCGTCGACCATCAACCTACGAACCAGGAGGTCACAGTTTGATTCCTGGTGAGGACACATGCCTGGGTTTCGGGTTCGATCCCAAATAGGGGGTGTGCAGGGGGTGGCCAATCAATGACTCTCTCTCATCTTGATGTTTCTATACATCTCTCCCATTCCTTTCCTCTCTCTGAAATTTAAAAAAAAAAAGTTTAATCATGACAAATTAAAATTTTATAATTTTATTTATCATAAAACTCAGAAGGAGGAAATACTAGTGAAACAGATTCCTTTAAAAGGAAGTAAGGTAAGGTAGTAAGATTACAGACAGAATAAACTACACTTAAATTAAAAAACAACACTTTACATCGTGACAAGAAAAATGTCTTTAAAAAGTTAAGAACATCTATATGCCTGATTAATACTGTGTTAAGAAATACAAGTTGTTTACATAATCTGATGTAGATGAAGACACAATAAAACTTACGTTTCAAAAAGGGCAAAGATAAATAGGACCACGAAAAACAGAACATTGGTAGTCACCACAGCAACCTGATCAATACTTCCCTGGTGAAGTTGAACTTCATCTGTACTTGCTGTAGTGAATGGAGAAAAATTATATTACTTACACATGTTATTTTTATAATCACACAAAGTAGGAATTATATGTAGCAAATCCTATGACTAAACATTTAATATCATTTTTAAGGCTTTAAAACAATTTAAAAGGAACAATGTATATGACAGAAGTAACTTTTAAATGGTATTTAAAAATAAAGTAACGTTCTTCCCAGGAAATACACTTCAATTCTGTTATCTACAGGAATACTCTGATTGTCTATTCGGTGTCTCTCAGTCCAAAAGAGGAATGTATTTTACAGAATTATATAAAATGATCTTATACTAAATACATTTGCTTTAAATTTCAGTTGCAGGTTTTTTTTTCTATCTTACCTAAATCTTAAATTTAAGAGGATTTCATGAAAACCTGAAATAGTTTATTAAATCAGTTCTCATTTATATGATTCACTTCAATGAGTATATATTTTATTTTGAATTTCAATGGCATGTGAAATTACTATTAGTAAATATCCTTATGTTATTACCACTTTTTTAAGGTCCTTGTGTTATTTATATTTTTGCAAATCAACACTTTGCAGAGAACCACCAAGTTATGGTTTTTCCAAATTAGGAGGACAAGTGAGTGTATTGACTTATCTTGAACTATGTAGTTAAGCTACACACTCAGTACAAACTAGTCCTGATATTAGAAGTGTAAAGTCATACAGATCTGAGATACATCTGTCATGCTATTTTACTCAGAGTAAATGAGGTAAGAAATGCAAGAATGTGTTCATTTATGCTATCTAAGTGTATGTGTAGCAGCAGCAGGGGGCAGGCAGTGACTTTCCTAAGGCACAGTAAGTTTCTACAATTTTTTCATGATGGTACCTTCCTTTAAAGCTCAGGATTTCTGAGAAGGAGTTCCTTCTCCAATTACAAACGAATTTGGAAACAGTCTGCTATGCTTGGGGACAATTAAGCAAGCACCCTGGATACTCAACATACGGTCATAACCTCCCTTTCTAATCACACAAACTGTAGGATATTGGCTCTCTGAAAATAAGAAAGTGATTTTTAGCAATGGTTTTAACCCTGCCAATCGCAGACACCTAATAACTGATATTGGTATGCCTTTTTTAAAAATCATTTTAGGTAACTTTCAACTTTAAAGGTCTTCCCTCAATCATCCCTTGTATTATCCTCAGAAGCAAAATCCAAGTAAGTGCCAATGGAATCATTAGAAACACTTTGATAATGTTATAGTAATTTAGTCAAACAGGTTAATAGTACCTTCTTCAAAATTAATACTTTTACACTGTCGTCCTGCGTCATCCACACGGTGCTCTCTAAAAAAGAAAAACATAAATACTGTATCCATGAAAGCCTTAGTATAATAGACAAATGGTTTAAATTTATTACTAGCCTTCTATTTTTTCACATTCTAATATAGTTTCTTTTATTGGCTTCTGAGTTATGAAAATATTAGCAATGAGACATAACAAAATTTAAAAGATACAAGTCATTATTCTAATCATCATATAAAATGAAAAAAAAACAAACAAACCCATACAAACAAAATTCATCCAAAAGCATATGTGGTCAACCTTAATCGGTATTTGAAGTTCTACAGTGATTTTAAACATTAGTTATAAATGTTTTTGGACTCTTGGTTAAAGTACTCCAAAGAAATATAAAGTAACCAAATTTCTGTAGTTTTATACAATTTCTTCTAATATATAAAAGATTAGAGATATGCTTGAAGTAACTTTTTTATTTAAGGTTGATTCTAATCATTAATCTACTTAAAATGTTGCTTTCATGTCATTTCCCTACTTAGTAAATCGAGACCAAACCTTGACTCTTCAAAGGCCTTATAATCTGTTCTCATTTAGATTGTCTATTATTTCAGTGCATTAGCTAATCAAAAAATATGAACACAACTATAGATACCAAATACCAAATAAAGACTTTATAGGAATAATTACCCTCCAACAATGATAATGCTCATTTAATTTCATAGTCTACAAAAGAAGTTTTATCATTTCTATCTAATTACCTTAATATAATAAGGATCAGAATAATGTTTAAAACTCCCAGGAAGGCACCAAGTAAAACTGGTGCTGTATACATGTTTATCTGAAGCTGTATCGTCTCCCATGTCACGCCCTTTTCTCCAATGAGTGCAAAACAGGCCTGAAAAACTTATTAAAATAAAACAACACAGATGTATTATTATACGGGAGACACAGACTAAAAAAAATGTGAAAGACGTTTACCACAAAATTGGAAGTAACATGGAATCATTCATCTACATCTTGCATCTCAACAGACAGGAAAAAACTGGTTCTGGATAAGGGGGCAAAGAATTGACTTTTTCTATATAAAGCACAGATAGAATACATACAATATACAGTATATCTGTAGTATTAAATTTCCATGGGATGGAATGATTAGGAAAAAAATGTCTAAAAAGGCTCCTCAGGGGGTCAATAATGAAAAAAAGGTTGAGAAACAGTGATGTACATGAATTCACAAAGGATTATATCTAAAGTAGTTACTTCAGTAACTTCATATTTTTAAAAAACATCTCCATAAGAAATAAATTACACAATTTCTTCCATAAATCAATTAAATGTTTAATCAATTTCATTATAAGAGAGAAAGTGTCACATTTTAAGTAAATATTTTAAAATATTACTGTTTATATGGTATTTAAAGTATATATATTTAATGTTTTAAATCTGGTTTTGTGGCAAAAATCAGATTGGAAGAATACTGACTTGCTCTCCTGATTTATATTCTGGATCTGGCTCTTCCAAAAATTTACATGTAATTTTATGGTGAGGATTAAGAAAGATACTGCATCACTTAGAACAGCATCTAGCACATACTCAGTAAATGTTAGTGCTTGCTGATGTGGTTATTATTAGGAAAGTGATCTGATCTTTTCAGACCTATAATACAAAATGTTTAAATGAGACAGTCTTTAAAGTACGCTTTAGGTACTCAGAATATTTACTGAGAACCTAATTGTGTACCAGGTACTGTGCTAGATACTGAGGGTAGAGGAAGACTCAGGCTACGTCCTTATTTATTTTATATTATGGCGGTAGATCCAATTATTCTACATTTGTAGAATAATCTATAAATATAAATAAAATGTTCTATATTTTACTTCGGGATGCTAAAATGAAATATTAGATATTGGTGGTGAGATTCTAATCTATTGAGCTTTTTCTTGGTTAAATAGAAGAAAGTAATGGAAGCTGGAGTGAGGGTGGCATGTTGATAAAGTAAACTGGGTTGGGTCAAACTGATGATATATTCATAGCTTCAATTTTCAATACATAAGCAAATTACATGATTTCAATGTTATTCTTGGCATAAAAAGTACTAATTTCTCAATTCAACAAAAAAGTAACTGGCCTTGGGGAAGTATTAAATACATTACAATTTTTTTATACTCAGTTAAAGGATGGAAGCTTTGGAAGAAGAAGAAAATATTAAGCCTTTTTAAAATTCTTTTATTTTCTTCAACCTTAGAAGAGTCTTAAAGGCATAGGCAAAGGGCAAAAGGGTCAAGAACCTCCTATAACTTTCCTTAAACCCTTCAGTCAAAAAAATTTTGTTTCGAAATGGAAAAAGAAAGCAAACTCCTGCAGATAGATCAAGCTAAATGATTATTTCAGAGAACATATACTTTGGAGTCAGATAGATTTAGGTTTGAACCTCAGATTTCCCATTTATTATCTGGCTGACCATGGATCATTTACTTAGATTCTCTAGGCCTTGGTGCCCTAATTTGTAAAAAAGCACTTAATTTAGAGGATTGGAGTTAACATATATACAGGGTGGGGCAAAATTATGTTTACAGTTCCTATGGAAAATAATACAATAATTAACAAATAATAATACAAGAACAAAATAGATTCAGTGACATGGAAGCATGGATGAGACTGTGGAACCTCAGAGGGAAGGCGGGTGGGGAGAGATTAACCAAAGAATCTATATGCATATATGCACAACCCATGGATACAGACAATAGTGTGGTAAAGGCCTGGGGTGGGGAGTGGGTGCGGGTTGGAAGGGATCGATGAGGAAAAAAGGGGACGTTTGTAATATTTTGAATAAAAAAAAAAAGAATAAACTGTTCTAAACACTCATAACTGTAAACCTACTTTTGCCCCAACCTGTAAAGAGCCTAGCCTCACTGATGGATCCAAAAATATTAGTTTCCCTCCCTTTCTCTTTAGCTATGAGGTTTTATGTTTGGATATAACTTAACATTTGAACCTCAAAAGCTTTTCCCAATTCAAATTCAAGTAATTACAAGTGAAAAACACCTACCTGGACCTAGAATAAAACCTAATGCTTGACATGCACTTGTGTTTGCCATGGAACTTGTTCTTTCCTGAAGAGAAGTAGCACCAGCAATATATGATCTAATAACTGCTACATTTCCTAAGAAAAGACACAATAAAAGAAAATGTCCTTCAGTTTATAAAATTCAACTTAAGTTGGCTTTATACAGAGGAAATATTAATCTATAGTATAGTCACTGCTTTTTTATGATCAAAGCATGTTTATTAAGGAAATGCATCAATTAACAAAATATTACTTTTAGTAATATGAAAACACAGTTAAATATTTGAATTAATAAAAAATGGCATTATAGGAATGTTAAACTATTTTTCATCATTAAATACTAAGAAAGCACTGAGTGAATGGCACACTACTCATTGCTACAACTGTTTTTAAAAGCAAGATGTCACAAACTGCATGCTTAGATCTGTAATACAAGAAACAGAAACAGAAATCTACTAACAACTCGGAAATTTACAGAGCACTTATTATGTACAAGAGACTTTGCTAGGGGCCATGGAATATTTTTAAAAAGTCAAATTGTCTCTAATTACAAAAAAGCTTATGTTTGGTTGGGGATATAAGATAAAAACAGTGCAAAACAGCATAGAAGAAAGGGACAGGCTAGCCTAGGAAAGTTCATGGAAGATGTGAAACTTGAACTAAATCTAGAAGGATGAAGAATGAAGGGAACAGAAGAGAGATTATAATTAATGGGAACATCATGAGTAGAGGCTAAATATCAGAACATATGTTTGCAATCACACATCTATATGTTGAATATTTGGATATAAGATTGAGAAAGGGTGACACCAGGTGAGATTGGGCCATAAATGTCAGGATAAATGTGAACTGACACAACTGAACATTTATATACATACATATATATTACCTGCTCCAAATCCCACCAATCCACGAGCAACCAACATGTAGTATTTATTATGAGAAGCTGGGACGTGCACATATGCATAGAGGCAGTTGGCTGCCACCGAAATGAAGATGGAGACAATGAGAGGTTCTTTTCTTGGTCTATAATTAGACCACAAACCAAATATAGGTGAAGCTACCATTTGGCCAAGACTAAATGAAGCAATAACCCAGCCCAAAAAACTTGTATCAGCTGTCTGGTCAATCTGCAGAAAAAAAGTACAGGGCTTTAAGAATTATTATCCAAGAAAAGTCAAATTTAAAACATAAACACATTTTTTTAACCATGTAATATTTATTAAAAAAAAAATTCTAACTCATATAAGTTTTGTAACACTATTGTTCACAGTGATTCAGATTTCTGACATTACAATTAAATTTGCTGACAGTTCCCTACACAAACAGGAAAAATGCTTGGGAAGCTTCATCTTTTGCAATGATTGTGGAAATATTTCGTTCATAAAAATCTTGTTTAAAAGATAATCACATTAACATCATAAAAATAATATGCCATTCTTTAATTCTTATGAAGTTAAATACGATTACTTAGACTTCTGTTATTCTATAAACTAAACAGCCATTAGCACTGTAAATCCTTTTTTTCAAACTGGGCACAACAGTCACATGCTTAAAGGAGACAATAAAAACACAAAAGCTGAAACTTAATTCTCCCATTAAACCTATTACTAATTCTTCCTTTCAACAAAGACAATTCAGGATTCTAACTCTTCAAGAGGGTATTTATATCATGATGAACGTTGAGGGAAGAACCAAGTGATTAAAATTCACAAAATGCAATACTTTGAGAAAATAGAAAATTTTAGCTTATGGAAGGGACTATGGAATAAACAAACAGTTTAAAAAAATATAGTAGGCTATGTAGTAATTTGAAAAAATAAGAACCATTAAATTTTAGAAAGTAAGTTTTAATATATATAGGCTAAGTGGTAGAACAAAAGAAAAAACATGGCCCTCATTGCAAAGATGGTGGTAGACTGAGAGGAAGCTACAGTGATACTCTCCCAGGACCAAAGTGGGATTATAACTAAAATATAGAAAAACCATCCTGAATAATCAACTGCAACTGAAGACTAGCTGGAGAGCACCCTTATAACCAAGGAGAAAAAGTGGACACCACATAGAAACTGATAGGAAATGTGGAGGCATGAGAGGGCTGACTAGGCTACCACAGGCAGCAGCTGAAGGTCTTGAGGGGTATCTCAGCTGTGCGGGTTTCCCACAGAACTCTGGGGCCTAAACCTGAAGCTGTGCTTCCCAGCCCAGAGCACAAGAACTGAGAAAGGTGCCCACATAACATCTGGCTGTGAAAAGCAGTGGAGTTTCTGTCTGCCAGGGAGAGACGACTGGAAATGCCAGCATCCTCTTAAAGGGCTAACATACAAAGTTTTATGTGCAGCCACTCACCTTGGGCTCTGGCTGAGGGAGGGCAGAGTGGACAAGAGCTGTATGAGGAGAATCTAGGATTGCTGGTTTAGGGGACAGAGCTCAGAGGTCAGCCATCTGGATTCCTGTGCTGAGTCATTCCCCTATATGAGAGACATCTTTCTCAGGCACACATTTATCTTCGAAGCAGCTTTTGCCTAGAGGGAAGCAATTGCCCCACCTTGTTGGAAAACCTCTAGCCCCACCCTGTGGAGTTTCTACAGCATGAGGCTCATTAAGAGACTAAATAACAATCAGCTTCTGGGTGTTCTGAGTCTCTTCCTGATTTGCTTCTGGACCCAGAGCTTGGAAAAGCAGACCTTGGTGCGCATCTTGGTCCTTTCCAAATGCACCCAGCCCTAACAGTGGGAGCCACAAGCTGTGTAACGCTGATAGCTTCAAACAGGGTACTCAAGGCCAGTCATAAACACAGTCTGACATTGGCCTGCACCAGAGACTATCCAAAAAACTGGGAGTCCTAACAGATCTACCTAATACATAGAAATAAACCCAAACAGGCAGCCAAAATGGGGAGACAAAAAAACAAACCCCAAGTGAAAGAACAAAATAAAATTCTCCAGAACAAGAGATAAATGAAATGGAGATAAGCAATCTATCAGATAAAAAGTTCAGAATACTGCCTGGCCGGGCGTGGCTCAGCGGTTGAGCGTGGACCCAGGATCCAGGTGATCGGGGTTCGATTCCCGGTCAGGGCACATGTCCAGATTGCGGGATCCATCCCTAGTCGGGGTGTGCAGGAGGCAGCCGATCAATGACTCTCTCATCATTGATGTTTCTATCTCTCTCTCTCACTCTCCTTTCCTCTCTCTGAAGTCAATAAAGATATATATATTTTTTAAAAGTTCAGAATACTGATCATAAGGATGCTCAACAACATGAGAAAAGAAATGGAAACTACGAAGGAAATTGAGAATGACATAGTAGAAATAAAATCATCTGAAGGAATAAACAGCAGATTAGCAGAAACTGAGGATCAAATTGGCAAATTAGAAGATGGAGTAGAAAATATCAATCAAAGAACCAAAAAGAAAAACAAACAGGAGGACAATTTAAGGGAGCTGTGGGACAACATGAAACATAACAATAGTCACTTCATAGGACTACCAGAAGATGTAGAAAGCAAGGGATAGAGAACCTGTTTGAAGAAATAATGGCAGAAAACTTCCCTAACCTGGTCAAGGAAAAAGTCACACAAGTTCAGGAGGCACAGAGAGTCCCAAGCAAGAAGAATCCAAAGAGGCCCACCCCAGACACATCATAATTAAAATGCCAAGAATTCAAGACAAAGAGAGATTAAAGGCAGCAAGAGAAAAAGCAATCTGTTACCTACAAAGGAGCTCCCATAAGGCTGTCAGCTGATTTCTCATCAGGCCAGAAGGGAATGGCATGAAAGTATTCAAGGTAATACAAAACAAGGATATGAAAACAAGTCTATCCAGCAAAGCTATCATTCAAAATAGATGATGAAATAAAGAGCTTCCCAGACAAAAAGAGGCTAAAGGAGTTCACCACCACCAAACCAGCAATGCAAGAAATGTTAAAGGGACTGCTGTAATAAGAAGTTGAAATAGAATGAGAAACATAGGGATGGAGATGGAGGGGATCAATGAGGGAGAAAGGGGACATCTGTAATACTTTCAACAATAAAGCTTTAAAATAATAAAAATAAAATGGCAATAGATAAGTACCTATCAATAACAACCTTAAATATAAATGGATTAAATGCTCCAATCAAAAGACACAGGGTAGCTGAATGGATAGGAAAAGAAGACCCAAATATATGCTGTCTACAAGAGGCCCACCTCAGAACAAAAGACTCACACAGTCTGAAAAAAAAAAAAAAATGTCTGGAGAACTTTCAAGGAGAGATTGACAGCAATACAGTCATACACCCCACTGACTTTACTGGATAGATCTTCCAGACAAAAAATCAACAAGGAAACAGTGACTCTAAATGACATGCTAGATCAGATGGATTTAATTGATATTTACAGAGCACTTCATCCCAAAGCTGCAGAGTATTCATTCTCCTCAAGTGCACATGGGACATTCTCAAAGAATAGACCACATGTTAAGACACAAAACAAGTCTCTACAAGTTCAAGAAGACTGAAATCATATCAAGCATCTTCTCAGACATTTACATCATGGAATACTATGCAGCTGTAAAAATGAAGGATCCCTTATCCTATGAGACAGCATGGTGGGACCTGGAGAGTATTATGCTAAGCAAAATAAGCCAGTCAGAGAAAGACAAGTAGCACATAATTTTACTCATATGTGGAATCTAATGAACAATATAAACCAATGAACAAAATAGATCCAGAGACATAGGAGCATGGAACAGACTGATGAATCTCAGAGGGAAGGCAGGGGTGGGTGAGTGGGTAAGGAAAGATTAACCTAAGAACTTATATGTAGCCCTAGCTGGTTTTGCTCAGTGGTTAGAGCGTCAGCCGGCAGACTGAAGGGTCCTGGGTTCAATTCCAGCCAAGGGCACGTACCTTGGTTGTAGGCTCGATCCCTAGCCCAGGGGCCTGGGCATGTGTGGGAAGCAACCAATCAATGTGTCTCTTTCACATGGATATTTCTCTCCCTCTCTCTCTCTCTCTCTCTCTCTCTCTCTCTCCTTTTTTCCCCTCTAAAAACAAACAAAAAAGGATTTATATGCATATATGCATAACCAATGGACACAGACAATAGTGTGGTGAAGGCCTGGGGGAGGGGTGCAGGGGGTGAAGGGATCAATGGTGAGGTGGGGAGAAGGAGGACATTTGAAATACTTTCAACAATAAAGAAAATGAAAAAACATTGCCTTTTCTAAAGATATTTTTAAATAGCTTAAAGTGAAAATACTTAGGTACATTTTTGATGGGAATTAGAAATAAGAGTAATTGAGTATACTGATACATAATATTTAAAGGTCTAGCCTTTGAAATTTTTTTTTTCAGTTCACTAGGCATGTAATGGTTTTGTGTTATTTTTTTTCAAATTTTTCAATTAGTTTACATTCAATATTATTTCATACTGGTTTCAAGTGTATAGCATAGTGGTTAGACAATCATATACTTTGCAAAGTGATCCCCTGATATTTCAAGTACCCACCTGAACCATACATAGTTATTACAGTATTATTGACTATATTCCCTATGCTGTACTGTACATTCCCATGACTGTTTTGAAACTACCAATCTGTATTTCTTAATCCCTTCACCTTTTTTACTCAGCCTCCCAAGCCTACACCCCTCTGGCAACTATTAAATTTCTTATTATAGGCACTCTGGTTTTTATTTTCTATCTGTATTACCTTTAGCTCCTTTTCTTCTCTCTTTTAAAATATAAAATAACTTCAAGTCATATAAATTTTAAAATTTTCCAAACAGCAATGAAAACTCAATTTTAATGTTAAATGTGTAGTGATTTGAAAGCAAAAGGATAAAAGTGTTATCTCAGGATATCAATGAATCATAATCAAGTGACTCCTGAGGATGGCTCTAACATTAACAATATTTGCTGGAGACCATTGGAAATTTTAATTTTAATTGGATACTATTCTTTACATTGACTGGAAAACTGGAATCTGCTAGAATTATGACAGGGAAGTAACAATAGAAGGTATTACTTCAGTAATTGAACTGTTACCTGCGCTCATGTGTGTTTTTCTCTCTTAAAATTAATAACAGCACCTCATTTTTGGTCACTCTGATGATCTCTATCACATTGTTTTCAGGATAAAACCTAATTCACAAGCTGGCCGCTGTCTGCCTCTCTAACTTCATCTCTCTGCACACTGTCTCCCTTTACTTCTAACTTCTAGCCAAGTGGAACTGTTTGAAGTTTCAAAAATGAGCCAACTTTTTTGCCTCCAGGCCTTTGCACGTATTCCTGTACTGCCCCTTCCACCAGCAACACCTCCGAATCTCCTACTCCCTGACTCCCACACCTGGCCTTCAGGTGATCAACTTCTGCAGGCCTTTAAAACTTAGCTCAGGTATAACTGTTTTTGGAAAGTCTTCCAGGATTTTAGTTTGGATTAGCAACATCCCCCTGGTTGCCCATATCTGTCTGTTTCTGTGTGTATCTATGTTCGTATATCCCTTCCTTCTCTCTCCCACACCCACACACACTTTTAGATCATTACCCACTTATTTTGTATGGTTATTATCTGTAAACGTGTTTGGTTTGGCACACTTCAATGAAAGCTGAATCTATATCTCCTGTAAAAACCCCCACAAAAACCAAAGTGCGTAGAACCGTATTTCAAAACATTCTTCTCTAAACATGTTAATTGACACAATCAAAGTTCTAGAAATCTTAATGTTTTTCTATTGAGCTGAGATACAAATACAGGTGTTCCAAGCCTCCTCAACTATTTACTTATAAATTATTACTTATTTATTCAATTAACATCTTGCTGACTGGCTATTTTGAGCCAGAACTCGCCTGTGTTCTGGCCGGCTACTTTTCCTTTGTGATTGGTCAGCAAGGTGTTTAAAATTATTTAAATTAATGTAAGTGCAGACACAGCTTGTGACCAGTCAGCAACATTCTGACATGGAAACACGTGTATTCTTGTGACCGGTCAGCAAGGTGTAGTACTGTGGTTAAGAGTCGGATTTTGGTTTCAGATAGGGTTGGCTCTGCCAATTTCTAGCTGTGTGGCCTTGGGCAAGCTACCTAAATTCTCTAAGTTTCTTCACCTGTCAAACAGGAGTGATAATATTCACTTTATAGGGTTGTTATGAAGATCAAAAGTTGATTTAGGTAAAAGGTTTAGTACTGTGCCTGGCACACAGTGAACTCTCAATATTATTATGAAATAATTTGAGAAAATTAAGGTTTTTGGTGAAAATGTTATATTTGTCTTGCTGAAGAGCCAGTTATAAGTTCATGTAATCAATATATTTACCTTTGAAGAGCTTTCATGTATCTGCAGAAAGGAGTGATCCTTTTCAAAACTCAACATATTGGGCTAAGTAGACCTAATTACTGCAAATACCTTCTTTTGGAAACTTTGAGGTTAATTAGACTAGATACAGGGACCATACAAATTAAGAGTTGTGATACATTCAACAATAAAGATAAATTTTTTAAAAAACAAAAACCCCCACAAAATGTACCAACTGATTTAGGCCCAGATTATGGAATGTACTACACTGATATTTTGTGACCTTAGAATGAGTCTTTAAATAGCCTTAACTTTATAGATGAAGACATCTAGGCATATGTAGATCAGCAGGAAAAACCAGGGGGAAGAACTAAGCTTTAGTGTTATTATTTGCTATAATTTAGTTGAGTAAACTCAAGCAAAAGAAAGAAAAATGGAAAGCCCTGTAAGATGGCTGAGAACTTATAAAGAGCAGAGGCAGAATACCCAAATTTAAAGGCAAATTTCAAATACAGCCCCAAATTAGGCAATTGCCAGTAGAACCTGAAAACTAAAATTCAGTGAAGTTTGACCAACTGTATAAACAATTCAAAACCTCAGTATGGTCAGTGCTGATATCTAAGGTAATGGAATAAAATATGTAGAAATAGCTCTATTTCTAGAGTAAGATGTTTGTTCATTAATGTTTGCTTCATTCATATATTCTCCCAGTGTCTTTCCATCAATTCTCAAGGACCACTGAATGGATCAACATAAAATAGTGTGCCATCTCTTGACTCCAGTTCAAAAATCTCAGTATGCTGCAGTAAACTATCTTTTGTGAAGATCTGATGATGTTTTACTGAGGCCTTATTGAAAGAAACAACAATGAATGGGCTTCTCATTGCTGATCTCGATCAAGTAGCTTCTCAGACTGTTAACGATATGCTTATACATATCAGTTATCACAAGTTCTCTCTTGCCTGTCCTATGCAGCAATTAGCCTAGGATTGCTTTGTTTATCAGTTATAACATGATGGGGATGCCAATCACACAGCTCTAGTTACTGATAGATCAGCATTTCTATTCTAGGTCCTTATAGTCAAGAGTTTACAAAACTAATCATGGAATGAATCTTAGCATGTAAAAGCTACTTCCCAGAATTTTTTAAAAATACAAATTTAAAAAATGTTACAGAAAAGTTATGATACATGAAAATATATTTTTAGCAAAGAAGATGTTGCTGCAGAATTTTTAAATATAGTTTTAGTGCCAGTATGGAAAGCATTTTTAGTGTCATGGGTATTAATTTTTAAAAAAATTTTTATTGGTTGATTTTAGAGAGGGAGGAAGGGGAAGGGAGAGAGAGAGAGACATCAATTTGTTGTTCCACTTATTCATGCATTCATAGGTTGATTCTTGTATGTACCCTGACCAGGGATTGAACCTGCAACCTTGGTGTATTGGGACGACGTTCTAACCAACTGAGCCACCTAGCCAGGGCTCATGGGTAATAATGTCATGTAATATAATTTTTATCTTTTTTTTCTTTTTTCTTTATTTTTTAAGGCTAGTCAAGTGAAGAAGTGGGAGTGGAGAAGGAACAAATAATTTTTAAATTAATTTTCAAAACAGCAATGCAAATATGGCACTAAATCTAGTTTTTTTGTTTTTTATTAAGGAGGTGGTATTGATAGAATGCAAAGTGGCTAATAAGTAGGTGGCCATACACGTGCATTTGCCTGGGACTGTCCAGGTATAACCCTATTTTCCTGGCACAGCACTCCTTTCACTTCGGGAGTGTTCTGGTTTACACAAGAAAGTATATGATCACTTTACTTACAAGCTTCTATTGAGGAATTACTATCTTGAGTTATTCTAGTACAGATTAAATCTTAGAGTATTAAAGAGACTCTAGAAAACTCTTAATTATATAAGAGTTATTACTACTAAAGCTACTTAAGAGAAGAATAAAGTGTACAAACCTTTTGGAGATAGGGCCATATTGACATTATCACAATAGAAAATCCTGTAAAGAGGCAAACTGTTATTTATACTTATAATAATTCCATCACTATTTATAAATACAATATTTTGGACTATAGCATGGATTTTATTTTACTTTTTAAAATGTTTTTATTGATTTCAGAGAGAGGAAGGGAGAGATAGAAACATCAATGATGAGTCATTGATCAGCTGCCTCCTGCATGCCCCCTACTAGGGACCAAGCCCACAACCCAGGCAGGTGCCCTGACCAGGAATCAAACCACTATCTCCTGGTTCATGGGTCAATGCTCAACCACTGAGCCATGCCAGGTGGGCTATAACATGGATTTTAAAATGTAATTCTAATCTACAAATTTATGCCCCAAAATGTCTACTTTGTTAGACAATGTGGTTTTAGGCTTGAAAAGAATAAGTATAGTCCTTGGCCATAATTAATATAATAATAGCCAAGTACCTATCTTTCCTTATAAGCCTTTACTATAAATGGAAATTACTGAAAACTTTGTTAAGTGTTTATAGCAGAAATGAATGAAGGAAAGGCCACTTTGTTAAAGAGGAAGTGCTATACTTCTGTGTTGTTTGGGAGAGATAATTAACTGTAGGGAAGAGTGGAGAAAAATAAAATGATTCTCTAAAGGGGGCACTGGTTATAAAGAACTAGGATACTGCCTTGGACAGTGTGGCTCAGTTGGTTGGGCGTCATCCTGGTGCACCAAAAGGTTGTCGGTTGGATTCCAGGTCATGCACATGCCCTGTCTGGGGCTCAATCCCCAGTAGGGGGCATGCATGAGGCAGCCGATAGATGTTTCTCTCCCCTCTCCCTTCCTCTCTCCTTAAAAATTAATTTTAAAATCTTAAAAAATAATAATAATAACTAGGATACTTCAAAGATGGCCATACCTTAAAAGAAAATTCATTATTTTTGGTAGGCTTTATCGATTGAGAACTGTAATGATAAACTCCAATTTGTCAATTTTAAATGTTAGGCACATACAATCAAAATTCTATAAAGGTTTTATTTTTTAAGAAGCTTTATTAAGATATAATTCACATATTATACAATTTATACATTTAAAATATACAAATCAGTGGGTGTTAGTATAATCACAAATATGTGAAACCATCACCAAAGTCAATTTTAGAACATTTTAGTGACCTAAAAAAGAAATCCTGGGCCCTCTAGCCCTATTTTGCCACTCTCTAGTATAGTCAAATTCATAGAAACTGGAAGTAGAATGGTGTTTCCCAGGGGTTGGGAGGATGTGGAAATGAGTTGTTGTTGTTAATTGGGTAAACAGTTTCAGTTTTGCAAGATGAAAAAACTCTGGATATTGATTACACAGCCATGTAGATATACTTAGCACCTCTGATCAAGATGGTAAATTTTCAGTTATGTGGTTTTACCACAATAAAAATAATTTTTAAAAATTAAATATTAAAATATATCGTATATTAATTTCTAAAATTATGTAATTTCTAGTACTTACCTACACTGCTGAGAAACATAGTAAGATACAGAATCCTAATAGATCTCCATCGACTCTTATAATGCTCCTCAGTTTCTGTAATATCCCATTCTCTAGGTGTAAAGAAGAAAGAAGTAGCACAAAGTTATCTCATCATATGCAAATTTTTCTGTGGCACACTTTTATTTTCTGTCCTAAAGTTATAAAAATTATATGCTAGAGGTAGAGGTATAATTTACTAATACTGGTTTTTGCTGTACTATTCACCTATGAATAGGCATTATTTCTTTGAATTTCCATGGGTTATATTTATGCATCACTGTACAGATTTATTATTTGAGTGTTGAAATTTGTTACACTGACAAAATGAATAAAGTTTATCAATATAAATAAACTAGCTACAACAATTAGATCTCCCAAAGGTGGGATATACACTACTAAGTATTTTACGATAATTACTGTCAACATTATAACATGCTCTACTTGATGACAGCAAATTAACTTTGCTACAGGAAGCTATTCTGGATGGATAATTTTGGCAAAATTAATGTAGAAGTGACAACAGGATGCTTTGATGTGACCTAACACATTCCTAGCCTGAGACCTCCTCAAACACTTGCCTTTGCTCTAACACATGGACCAGAGAGACCAAGGCCCCTCCAGACTTGGTTGATCTTTCATATAGGTCTGTGCCCTGGACTAAAGGGCAAGTATATTACCCAGACATCCCACCTCTGTCAGATGATTTACATGAGTGTGTGTACCCATTACATTTTCACATGTGCATAAAGAAAGAGTTAACTTTACCTTAAAATGAGCATTATGTTTTCAAATAATTAAGACAAGCAAAACCACAAAATACCTTCTTATGTTCCAAGATTATTTTCTAAAATAGACTTTAGACTCAAATTGGTCTTGAAAAAAGAAACTTTATTTTTCAAATGTGATGTGACTGGGCGTGGTAGAGAGGGAGGGAAGAAGGGAGATATTAGATCTACTGTATGCCAGGTATATTAAATCAGTTCCTGATACAGCATATACTTATTAAGTGGTTAACTTTATATATGCCATTATATAAAAAAAGAAGAGCTCTTTAGGCCTTAGCCAAACTTCCATGTTCTAACTATTCACAATTCTATTGAACTTATATATGGTTTTCAAACCAGCAACAAAGTAGAAGTCCCAAAAAAAAGCTGGGAGAAGAGAGGTTGCTGACAGCGACAAAAACCGGGGTTGCCAACAGATTAACAAAAACATGATGAGGGATAGTTTGCCAAGAACAGAATAGGCAGTGAAAACACTAAAAGAGCAGATATAAAACTTTAAAAGTATAGCAGTGTATAATAAAGTAGAATAGAAGGAAATAGTCCAAAATGTCTCAACAGGCCAAGAACATCACTCTATTTCGACATTATTTCAGCATTGATATGAACTGTAATCTCAAGATAAAATTGCATTACATTATGCATATATGCATGACCTATGGACACAGACAATAGTGTGAAGGCCTTGGGGAGCAAGGGTGGATTCCGGGTGGAGGGGATCAATGAGGGTAAAAAGGGGACATCTGTAATATTTTCAACGATAATTTTTTTTAAAAATTGCATTATGTATATTGTTTAGTAAATCAGGGACCAGAGAAATACATTTTCCAAAGAGTTTCAAACAGAGTGGCTAAAATAAGGTTTGGTGCTTAAGTGAGACAAATGAGCAAAAATTAACGTAGACAGCTTTGATTTAACTGTGTATTAATTTACGTGACGTAATTGTTATATGTTTCAAATAAAATAGTACTTAACTCCATTTTCCTAAAGGCAAAAATACGTAACTGCACAAAGTAGGAACAAAATAACTAGAATTATAGAAGGGTCACAATACACTTCATCTCCTAAATGCTAAAGAAAAAGGTATTTTTTTACAATTAGTATTTATTTATATATTTGGCACAGGACAGAGGTGAAGCCATTTCAGACGTGTTCACTTGCTAGCAAAGAATCTGGCAATTAGGTCAACACTAAGAGCGGTGTATTCAAGTAACAATTAAACCGATCATCTCGGAATTTCTGTGAACTGTGTGACGTGCTCAGCTCTGCGACGGGCCCAACGCAGAGGGCTCGGCGGCTGCCCCTGCGGAACCGACGCCCAAAGGCAGTCTCACTTTCTCCGGCACCTCCACCAGAGCCCGCGGGCGCACTCCGACTCTTCCTTTCTCGGCGCGGGGAGGTCCACTTCCGGCCTCGCGCGACCGGCCGCCGGCTCCCGCCGCCCCGGCACCCCTTCTTCTGCCGGGAATGGCTAGCGCCGGTGAAGGCAACAGTCCCCATAGCGCAGGAAGCTTAGGGTGCCTTCCCCCACATCCGCTCACCTGCTTTCGGGTGTGCGGTCACCTAAGAGCGGCTCCCGCTCANGGAGGTGAGAAGCTAACTCTCGCGACACCTCCTTCTCCTGCACAACCCACACAGCCAAAGCTGGCAAAACAACCCAGCAAGTGCGCGTGCGCGCCCGGCCGCCCAGCGCCGGGGTCACGCGGAGCTCGGGGCGGGGCGTGAGGAGTCAGGGGCGGGGCCTGGTGTCCTTAGTCTCCTCCTGCGGTCCGCGCCTCTCGGGCTGCCGGGACCTCGTGGGCCGAGCTGAGGAGAGCTCGGGGGCGTATCCAAACGGCCACCCCGCCCCGGGTTCTTGGGTTTCCCGGGCTCCGTTCCGAAGCCAGAGCTCCGGCGTTCCTGGAAAGGCTGTTGGCTCTGCGGTTGGAGCTCGGACTCGACGCGAGTCCCGGGAGACGAGGCATCGGCGGTGCTGGGAAACTCGGTCGGCTG